CTTGATCATAGGGTTCGAAATCTAAAGTATTTATTAATAAAGGACATTATTCAAACTTTATATTAAACAAATGTTATGTAAAAAAGCCTATTATAGGATAGATGAATTTATAGATGATAGCAAGTATAAGTTTATTTGCGGACAACATTATAATTTGTTTTTCATACTGCTTTCTTGATATATGATAGCGTAGCGGCTTTTGTATTGATTGCCGCATGCATCCTCATGTAAAGTGCGAATACTGTAACTACCATATAGTAATTTTTGTAGCTGTGACGTGGTCGAGTGGAATGAGTAGTCATGCTCACTAAAATGTCCAGACATGTGGCGGCGTGGTGGGCCGGGTCATTGGGCTCCCTAAAATATGGTCGTGCGCAGTGATGGCTGGCTCATCCGTCATACTCGTGAACGAGTGCTGCTTGTAGGGACTGGTCTGCCCTTATCACTACGACTGATTTAATCTTATTGTGTTTTTATATTTGAGCCTAAATAAATTAGTGCTGGTTGGTAGTTTGTATTCACACGTTTCGACTTGTAAAATGTGAACTTACAAGGATTGTTCAAAAGAGCAACACACAAGTTTCTTGCTTATTCTTCTTGCGATGAGACAGCTTTCCGAATAAGCGGTAGATTTAAAAAAATGTTGACTATTCAAAAGTGCTTAAATTAAGTTTATTTGAATAAATGATTTTCTATTCTATTCTATTCTATTCGCTACTTTTTAAAACAAATTTTTAAAAAGTAGCTAAAAATGTCCGAAGCTTCTAACCTGATTATCTAAGTTAAAACCAAGATATACAAATTTAATAGTAGTATAATGAATATATATCCTTTATAGTGTGTGAAAACGTTATAATAAAGCGAATTTCAATTGCCGAAAACTATTATCAAGAGAGTGTAAAAAATTATAACGATTATTCTATTACTTGTTCTTATAATATACCACATGTTATTATACGTGCACGTACGGTTTCTTTCGCGAATTCTTCATGCAACTCTATTAACGACTGCAAAATATAGATTCTGGCTTAATTGTTAACAAAAAAAATTACTCTTCACAATATTGATTGCATTGACTTGCAAATTACACTTAGCTATCGACAGAAAATGAAAGTCTGAATAAAGTTACCACTCACGTTGCTTTTTGTCGATCATCTCGTGTGAAATCTCAACAAGTAAGTAAGTATTTCAGTACACAAGAGAATCCCACGACTGTCGTATTTGATCTGGCTCATAACATCAGTCTCGACGCCACTCAAGCATTTTCATTAAATCAATTCATTTACCGTTGTAACTGAATAATATTGACAAAATTATGGTTATAGTAGTTGTTCGGATCTTAAATATCTAAATCTACAAAGATTACTTAATACTACGCACTTGAAACACATCACTTCCCTCATGTTATAAAGTTTGTTTAATGGATTTTTTATACAACAGGAAAATAAAAGATAGATCAGGGAGTAAAAATTATAAAAGTCAATACATATAAAAGTATAATTATTTTTCGCATTAGAAATTTCACGATACAACGAAATAAGGAGTTAATTTTTGGAAATTTACTCTCTGAATGACTAAAATGAAATTAATGTAGAGAATAATTTCTAAATTAATCACAAACATTTTCACTAATAGAATCACTATCACGAACAAACGTTGGAATCTAACAAACAAGAAAAAGAAATTAATAATATTATTTGATTATATAAAAATATAATCAACCCTTGATCACGGCGGTTATAACACAGTCGAAATATCGGGATCTTAATAACAATAAATAAAATAAGTTTTATATCTTATTAATAACGATGTAAATAACGACCACGTCAAATTTCAGAAAGCATATATACATTATTCATAGTAATTTAAGTTAATGATAAATACAATTAAAATGTAAACCAATGGCGACCGCAGCATCTTACCTCTATCTTCTACATCTAAATTTGTTAAAATGACAAGTAAAAATATACATTATAATATATGTAAAAACCTACATTTTGACATCTCTGAGTACCACAATTTGTTTTAAGAATTAAGTATATTTTAAATACTCAAGGCGGTGTAGAGTGATATTATAAATATTTAGAGCAGCTTTCACTGGACGCTGGACGTTGATCAACGAGCGTTAAATTGGTTAATATTGTCTGTATCTCGTCTCACTGGAGAATAATGACTATTTTGACAGAGTAATTAAACAGTTGGAAACACAATAAGTAAAGTGCAAACTACTAACTATGTCGGCATCACCCACAACCGTTGACGTCGCGGCGCCCGTTCAACGCAATAATCATTGAGGATTAATTTGACCGATACATAAACAATAAAGTGACATCATAATTTTATGTGAATCTACAAACGACTCCAACATTTCAAGATTACACCTACAGTTATAAAATCAATAAGCTATACATTATAATTGCGGTTAATCATACATATTAATAGTATACGTAGAAGACTGCGGATCTACTAAATATATAGGAACGAAAGTGATGATTAGCTGTGTCCTATACTGTGGTTGTACACGACCGGTACTGAAGGGCACAAGACCAGGGTTGCCAACTTTAAAACACTTCGTATAAATAAATAAAAACATCTTGCAAATTCTCGTATGTTAGCTCAAATTGACATTTTAACATCGTACATACATATTATTTTGACCGACAGTCGTTGGTCAAAATCCCGTACATAGATGTACCAGAATAAAAATGTCCCCGTACCGTAAATCTTGTCATTGTACGAGGATACACGTATGATTGGCATCCTTGACCGCGGCATTGGGCTTGACCATGTTTATGATTAGAATTTGATTGGGCGATTGCTGTCCCACATTTCGTGGCGTTTCTTGTCTGAGGTGCTTAATTGAGCGCGGCCGGCACCTACTACACAGTCTATTATTATAATATCGCCGTAGATTACAGAAAATAGAAAATGCCCGAGGGCCCGCTTTCTTGCGAGCAACTAGTGCTGCCAGCCTAGTTATGAACAGGTGGTTGCAGCCACAAAGAAAAAATATCACTCTGTACTCTTGATGCAAATAGAAATACGAATATTTCGGGTCTCCGTTAACGAGCGATAATTTAGCTTAACCGCTTAACAACTTAATTTCATTGGTCGTTTAATTTTGTAAATCATTATAAGATTGGTAACTTGTCTAACCGATTTCAACAAGAGAATGTTCTTATTTATTGTGCGTATTTTTGTAAGTTATAAGATAATTTCAGGTCTCATATTTTTTTTGCGTAGGTGATGTTTATTTTTTAGCATGGAACAAAATCATGAATGTTTATTTGTTTTAATGTTTGTTATTGCATACCCAATATTTTCACAAATTCTAAAATCTATTTCGGAATGTTTTTTAGCACTCAATGTCTTCTTTATTTAATAAATATAACTATATTATTTTTATCAATATTTAACTTGATTTGTTTTAACGGAAGGTCCTGTAACTTGAGTAAATGAACTGTCTAAATTATTATATTATACTATATGTTACGTAATAAGAACTCATACTAATTTAGTTGTCTCTTTTAATTTTATTTTTTTAAATCTATTAATTTGAACGACGTCATTAGTAGTCGACATTATTATGATGACAAAGACATAAACATTGTAGTGAACTGTAATATGTATATATGTATGTATCGGTGGAGAGGCAGTCAACTATATACTAGTATCGACAGACGAGACTTTCTGTGCTTTCTAACCAGCAAGTGATCAAGTGTCTGGGGTGAAATCGCCACAGCATTGCTCTTGTGTGTGACTTAAATTGCGCTTGCGCCTATCGCCGCGCCGCCTACGCCCATGTTACATTATACTCGAACTCAATTATGTAGTAATTGGAAACTATTATTTATAATTGCAATAAAACATTTTATATAATGTCAGCTACAACATCATTAGCAAACGATATATGGTAGATGGTTTAACGATAGTTTCGTTAAACCGTCTATACCGGATACAGGATAGCTGAGCTCGTAACTTTTTATTTGTTACTCCGACTTGCAGTATATTATTTTCTCTATAATATACGTTGGAGTTCCATGTGAATTTGCCAGATTTTATACGCGCAAGTGTATGTAATTATTATCTAAATTCATATCTAAACAATTTACGGTATACTCGTTCTAATTAAAATAAAACATCAAAATCAGACTATTTTGTAAAAAGTTAGGGCTGAGGTGAATTTGAATACACCGTCAATACCAGCAATAGATACTGGTTTTATTAATGTATTTATTTTAATCGTGCAGTAACATCATAAACTGATGTCATACAGAAACCTTTTTAGTTATAAGTAGAGTTAATATATTAATGTTACACTTACTACTCGGGGTATTAATTTTAATGTAGAAAAATTATTCAATGCAGATCTGTAATTCTATTGTATATAATAAAAGGATTTCAGAAATAAACATTAATTATTCTCGTGGTTAAGTATGAGTAGTAATTTATAAAAGTATTTAGTTTCATTAATACAATAATTGAATGTTTATCAAAATAAAAAATAAATACTCAAGTCAAATGGTATAAAGAAAGCATTGGAACAATGTAGGACCATAAATAAACGATTGAAATTATATTATAAAAAATTGTTCAATAAGCGTGTAAATACAGTTGACCTTGAGCGTAATAAGGTGAAGGCCGCATGCGGTTTCCTCTTGATGGAACGGGGGAGCGCGCGCCGACGTGAAAGATGCGGCCGGTGCAGATCCGGCGCTGCACGTTGCATTCGGTCAGTGGGTCAGCCCCACCTGACGAACTGGTGGGGCTGACTGCGGTGGGATGACCGTAGATCGGAGGGGGGGAGGGCGAGAGGAGAGGGAAGGGGGGGTGAGATGCCGCTTCTGCAGCGTCGCGGCGCAAACAGTGCGGCTATCACAGTCTTCGCCATGGTCGCCGTGCCACCGTTGCAAGTGTCGTACCACTAGCGCTCATGTCCAGCGCCGCCCGCGCTAGGGCCCTAGGCTAGTGCTCTCCTGAACGTGTTTCGTTGGTTGCAGGTCGCCGACTGAAATTGGACTGTGACTATGAAGAGGACCAGGTTGCTGCTGGCTATTGCGACGCTCCTGTTACAGGTTAGATAGATTTTTATTATTTTGACTAGTGAAATAAGCGATAAAACAATACTGACCTGTTTATATTAACCATCTACTACTAATCAGCTTTATAGATAGGCATTTATTTTTATTAACAAAAGAGTTTAGTTAAAAAGAATATAAAGCTCATATTGTGTAGGGCGGATTAAAGGCGGTCGATTGACGTAGCGCCCTAAAGCACACGCGCCTGAGTGACGCGATTCTGCGTAATTTCAGCGTTCAAGTTCATTATCATTCTTATAATGAAAAGGTGTAATTTTAAAGAAACTAAATTGATATAATTATATGATTCTACTAAAATTTTATTCACTAATGATATGTGGCACAAGAGAAAATTTAAATAAACTGACTGAGTTTTTTTTTTTGGAGTTCCTTAAATAACCTTTGTACATTTTTAATCTGGATAAATATTAAAATGTGTACAGTAATAACACAATAATTTCAACAGTTAAATGACATCGTTATAATTATATCACATAATTGACACGTTCTATTTGATACTAGTTTATTGTATAATTATTACTTCTTAATTGTTGAATAGAAAAATGTAATTATCAATTTTATTCGCTTCTACCCTTTAATGATTCAAGTTTGCCATGGATTTATTAAGAAAGAAATATGATGGTATAGGTTAATTGTAGAACAGAAAAATATAATTTGTCAATTTTATACGTTTCTAAGCATTTTAAAATTTAATAAGAACGAAATAGAATGCGAAATACGTAGGTTATTAATAAAACATCGGTATTGTCCCGTTTTTTTCTTCGAAATTAAAGACAACAGTTCGATACATCAAGCCTCACTGACTTGCAAGTCCATTTCAAATCTGGACGCCGCTTGTTGCCATTATGGTACCGTTGCCATCAGCTCATTTAATATTGCAGTAGTTACTGACCACGCTCTACAGTCATATTACTAACGTAATCCATAATAATATTATGATAGTATTATAAAAACTTTATCATAATAAAATATCTTCATATTTATAATTAAATATCTACAGTTTATTCATTATATTTTTTTTGTGGTTCTAGAAATAAATTTATGTAAATATAGACATATTGATTCCTAAAACGCAAAACATTTCGATAGTTCATTTACCTATTACCTACTCATTTTTTGTAGTGCTAGAAATAAAATTGTGTAAATATAGAGGTAGTGTTTCCTAAAACGCCAGTATGTTTTTGAACTTTTAGTTCATTATTTATCACTAAGTTGGTATAGCTTATATATTTAGTCTATATCTATCAATATCTATAATTTTAATGTAAATTCTGAAATTGAGTTGGTTGATTGATTTTATATTTAACGTTGGAAATTTTTTATTAGATTACGCCGAAGCAAGGAAAAGAAAAAAAAACATCCTATATTACTTGCTTCAAAGAATTAAACTTCCTACAGATGAAAGGATTTTTAAACAGGTTACATATTTTTATTATCCATTATAATATCCATGAATAAAAATTCTTCTGTATAAAATTAATTTAGGTTAATATCTCTAGTTTATTCGTTGGGATTACTGTACCTACAAAGGAACTGTCTTTCGATGAATTCCTCGTGTGCAACCCTGAGTGGGCACATAGCGTGCCGTGCCGTCTTGTACGCTACGCGCTTCACTCTTGCATTATTCAGCTTTTTCCGCTCGCGTTCTCCATAACTGGGCTAATGATTCCGTTAGTACATCCACAAAACAGACCATTCGAAGCTAACTGCGTATACTGATCTGCGTATATTGAATGTCTATAAGAGAAATCAGCTCTTAGCGCGGCGATCGTGAATTAATTGAGGCACGGTACGGTCGACGTCGGCTACGATACTGTCAATATTTCCTACTTGTAAACAAGAAATGACCGAAGTACGTAACTGGTATATGATAGATACTACTACTCTGTTTTCTACATCAAAATAAACAACGTAAATAAACTATAAAATAACTATAAAATTCTAATGGAAAAAGTCCCTACAGCACAATAGTTCTATTATTATTACAATAAAACCAAATTAAGCAGGAAATTAATAATCCGTTAGTTTTGTTATATTGTTGGCAAAACAATCATGTTTTCTATTTGATTAAATAGCGAAGTTACATGCATTTTAATATCATATTATAGTATTTTGAATGATATAGGGTTCAAAATACGATCTATGCAAGAGATGTAAATTATTGCAAATATTTACAAGGACTCATAAATAAGGTACAAGCAGAATTACAAGTATTATTACCTTATGATATCTTGTCACCAATATTATTACCAGATGAGATCTTGTCAGCTGGAACAATTCAAGTCACTGACCGTCATAATGCCTTTTTCGACTAGCACTTTCACTGAATGAGGAATCACGTCTGTATCAGCCAATGACGCAACTCGTCGTGCGAAGATTTCATTTTTGGCCATGAAAATAATTAAAATACAATTTGTTAACAAAGACATTTCTTTGACATTATCGGCTGCAGTTGTTACGAAGTCTGCGCTCACGATTGAATAATTTGACAATCATTATAAAGTTGAACGATTAGTATAAAAGGTCTATCCATTACGTTTGTTGGTTATTGTTATATAATCTGATACAATTTGAAACCAAACTTTCATTATTGTTATTATAGACTTGTTATGATTGATCGACTGTTATTTATATTATATAATGATGTCATGAAATTGAATAATTAATTAATATTTATCTTAGTCGTTAATGAATTTACGACATATGTAGTATTACTACGTGATCGTTATCATTTTATTTATTATTTTAGAAGTTGACAGACATTTTTTTAAACTAATTCGGTACTTGTTTTAATGCGAAGCATTAAAGTATACCTAACTAACTAAAAAATCTACTGTCCAACTAAAATGACGTAGGTATGTCTGATGATATGAACTAATCATCCTGAATTTCAAGTCTGAGTTGTTAAAAAATTTACCATAAGGTATAGAAGACAGAGTGAAGGCAAGAGGGTTGACTGCCTATTATACAGTAATTTTAATCAGTACAATGAAAGAATAGATACAAAATACCTATCAATAACACATAGTTTTGTATATTTAACATGACTATTCATATTTTATGATTATATTGATGGTCCCCATATATAGAAGCGATAGAATCATAAAACGCGACAACAACGCTAATTCATGTTAGAAAGCAATCTGTCAAAGAAAGTGTAAACGAGCGAATCACTTTCATTTGTACCTTCTGAATATTTTTATTTATGCGGGTATAGCGATTTTAACAGCTTAATTCAACATTAAACGCATAAAATGATATAATGTGGCAATATTTATACAATTACTCGCTGGTTATCTGTTTTGCCAATGATTTATTTCACAATCGGCCATTATGCTCAGCAACTAAATTTAATTTGCGTTTAACTTCGTGTTTATTTGCTTTTTGTATGACTTAATCATAATATTAAAGTGAAATTTTTAATAATTTCATTCAATTTTTCATTTAAATTTATTGAATAAAAAACTGTTTTTTTTTCAATATCGGTCTACTTTCAAATTCCAATGTACATAAATTCGAGACGGTAGCTATCCATAATAATCTAAATTAGTAGTCGAAACTGTCATTACATTAGCTATTCATATACTTGATTTATATTTTTGAAGTCTTTTTTTGTTTTAAGATATCCTTAACAATTGCTTTATATTTACATATTTTTATACTTATCTTAATCTATATATTTTTAAGTACATTTACTTTGAAGAAATCATTAATTTCTATCTTTAGGATTTCTTCATCATAAATACCACAACTATTAATCGAAATGTATACAAAGACATCTACAACAATGTGGTCAATGCATATAAAATCATTTGTTAAATTATATTAATGTATATTTAATATTTTATTGAAATTGTATTTATGCAATTTAAACCTTTGTTTTATGCGTAAAAAATAAAAAAAACCATAATCAATATTTAAAAAGCTATAACGAATATAATATATATAAAATAAATTATATAAATTTTATAGGAAATTAATGCAAATATTATAATTTTTTATTACGAATTCTATCTACTGAACTAATTATGATAATACTCAGAAAATTTTATTTGCATAAGCACTTATCTTAACAAAAGAAAGTCTCTTTAACTATAATGGAAATAAAATAAAAACCGTTATATTTACATGTTCACAATACATTTTGTTGATTTCACTTATTATTTGAAAACGTGTTACTGAAATGAAAGTGGTACCTATAGGTATGCAAGGTTATTGCTTATCGACAGAGAGCAACGCGTGTTTACAGTAAAAGTTGCATTGCGATGGCAAGTTCAAAAGAAAAGATTACACATCCGTAGCTAGATATATTACCGCGACCTTCACTTCTAATTATATATTCACGTTCATGTCAGTTTAAAGCGACGTTATTTATTGCTTGGAAAAAGTTTGAGGCATGGGTGAGGCACCACGAAGCAGGTTGAGTTACTCGATCACGAACCATCTGATAGGACATATACTCAAACACACTTCCCACGTTCAAGCAGATCGCAAAACGCTCGAAAACAATGTGGAGCTTATAAAGTCAGTATAGAAGTCATTATACGCATCCTATACCTACAGAAAGCCTAGACTTCACTTTTTTCGTTTATTATGATGCACGTATACAAAAATAAAAGTATATTATGTTAAATGCTTATCTGTTAATATTTTTCAGTTGTACGACATTTATCTTAATCTTGTCTATATAAGACTTTATGAAGGTTTTTAGATTTTTGTTTTTTTTACAACAATTATGCATAAAATGGTTTACGGTTACAAATTAAATTTGGTATATTGACACCGTATTCTAGATTAATACATAGAGATTTTAATTCACTTGCGTAGTATTGGATGTTAACAGCGTACCTCATATCTGTAGAAAATAAACTTTGCAGTTATTAACTAGATAGTTGATAGTTGAAATGGTAAAAAATAGTACATACGCAATTGTATTTGCACACAATTATCAGAATAACATAAATAACCTCGACCTTGTTAGTATTGGCAAACATTGTAGGACGCAAAACAAAAATCCGGTTCTATTAATTTCGCATTCATTTAAACAACTTTCTCACCATTTTTGGTAAAATGTAGGTTTGTTTTTCTTTGCCTTTTTAAAATATCCCTGTAAAATATTTAAGCTCAAACTATTACGTAAGGATATGTCCTCTTCGTCCGTATAATGATTCTTCGACAGTATTTTTTACGTGTTTTAATTTGAAGTTGGGATTTTATTATAAAAGCCACGTAGCCAAACTGCAATATTTTGTTTTCCAACATTTATAACTTACTACTCTACTGTATACAATTTCATTGAAAAATCACGTAGGACTACCTAACAGTATAGTCATATATAATCTATATATTTACTTTCTTGTTATTTACTGAGACTATATTATACACTCAGTAAATAACAAGAAAGTAAAGGAAGAGATTACAGTATTAACGACCATGAGAAAATACTCTAAAAATAATTGTATCCCAGAACCAGTTCTTTATAAATACCTAATATCCACCTATTAATAGCATCAATTTTTTTTTACATAGAGAACAAAGTCTCAATTCATATATCGCATATAAGCATGCTTTCTAATACAGATTATCTTCTACGGGCATGCCCTGAGGACGTTCGTACTATCGTTTTTATTGTGAAAAGAGAGAGTAAAACAATACATTAGTAGAATTATATTTAAATCTTATCATTATGGTATAATCAAAAAGTAAATAATAATAAATTATTTGCTGTTTTGTACCATCTTTATCTACTCACATGATCTCTGCTCAAGCCCATATAATTACATTGAGAAAACAATACCGTTTACAATTAATCTTTTTTTCGTATCAAATTCTATAAATTTACTTAAACAAAATATCAGGCACATATTATTATTATCGAATGATAATTACTAAGATGTCTTACTTATGCTAGTGAAGATACAATGTAAACACCAACATATTATTCCTAAATAAAATAAACCTATGTAAATAACACTTATTTATAAATATTACAAATGCAAAAGTTAAATAAACGTGGTTTATTTAAAACAAATCCATAACATTATTTGGAGAGTAAGGTCAAATATTCAAAATATGCAGCTTATAGCCCTGAAAAACTTCCCGCGAATGCAAATACATAAATCCTGTATCAGAGTCTGGTGTTACAAAAATATCACACCGGGCAAATAACTACTTTCGAGTAATTATTAACCTGCATCTCCAGATCTGTTAAAGAAAGTTCCAATAGTCAAGTATTGCGCCTGTTTATAGGTCCAGTGTTTTCTTCCGCAACTGACAATCTCGATCAGTAGGTAATTTCTAACCGGTTTAGAAAACATGACTGGTACTTGTAACATAACATGTTTATTTGCACCAATGTCTTTTTATTTAATTACAAGTAAAAAATACTTCTAGTTCAGTATCTTTAACCTTTTGTTTAATGTCTTCTAATTCCAATAAAAAATTCAGTCAAATACATAATCTTATAGGTAAGGTTATACTTAAACCTACCTATGGCCTTTCCAACGTATACATCCATTATTATGACTACTTAAATAGAGTCTGATTTTTATACAATAATTATAATACGATTTATGAATTAAGTTCTTCTCTTAGCAGTTAAAACTAAAATAGGCACACAATAACATAATCGAAGTTTTAGAAACAATCGTAATGTACTTAGTAACAATATTGTATCCACTTTTGTATAGAAATATTGATCGTATAATTATTCAAAATAAAAAAGCATTGTGCTGTTAACTAAAATACTCATAAAACATCGCCACCTGACTGACACTGTATCAATTAAAATTTAATACCGCTGTAAAAGTAATATAAATGGATAGTTTCTTTTAGATCCTACAGCATAAAGAGTAGAAATACTTATATTTTTTAACAAGATTAGTTATCGATCTCGTATCTACAGTAAACAGAATATCTCGAAATTCCTATTGTAATTGTAAGTATTTCGACAATATTACTACCTTCTATTGTCGTATTATTTACTTGCAAGATTTTGATTTGTCATTTTTGTTGTGAAGACGACAGGAAAAAGATATGTAAATACCAACAGTGACCTATTTCATATACCTGCTTGTTGAAATGTATATTTATAGTACAGTAATGTCTTTAATATTGATTAATAATTTTAAGAATTTTCTAATTAAACATATATTCTATATTACATCGATGCGTTAACGTAAACACGTTTCTCTATTAAACGCGGTAGCTAAGATAAACGCAGCAAACTATCGTGAAAGCATCTTTGGAACTCATCTCGGCAGTATGATTGCGCTGATTAATATTATAATTGCTTGCACGAGCTATCCATCAGTGTAGAAAGTCGGAAAGAAAAAGAACGCCTCAGCGCTCGCCGGATGGCGCGGCGAGCCGCGAGGTGCCAACCGCCCTGTACAGTCGGACTCATATTATAGTTGGCTGTTTCTCGATCTTTTTATTGGCATTATCGCCAAAGAATAAATAAAAAAATATAGGTAAACAGAGTTACTATATCTACTATTATATACTATTATCCCTTTAAATTAAGGTATCTCTAATATACGTGTGGTGTATAGTCTAGTATAAGTGTATACCATATAGTATGTATACGTATTTCGATTACGAAAAAAAGGTGTGTAATTCATTATCGAATGCCTCGCCATAGAAAGAATTTAATACATAATTATTTATCAATTTTCTTCACTGTTAGTAATAATAGTTATGGTGTGACAATAATAATATTCTAACATTAAATAATAATCAGGTTAACACATATGATTAATTATTGTGCATAATTATTATGAAAAAGTATATCATTTAATAGTTGTGGAAATCTATTCTACTAAGATAATTTTTAGACTTTCATTCTGTATAGTACTGACCACCCTGTCATTTAATTTAATAATGCAGCTGACTGTACCGCACGCGTTGGTGAGGCGCGAAGTAGACTGCGACGAGTGGAATGTGCCCCTCCACATACTCCAATGATTAATAAAATATATCTCTGTAGTAATGTCATATTTTATTAGTAATTTATAAAAGGAGAAACCAGCTGACTGATCAATGCACAATAGAAATCATGTTCTGGGTTCATAAACATGAAACTTTATGCAAAGGTATCTTATGTAACTCACTTTAAATGAGAAAAGTAATAATTATGAAAAATTTGAAAACTGAACTCACCTCTATATTCATCACCGAAACTATACTATTCCCTAAAATAAATTTATTCATATTAATAGTCACTTTCTAATTGATTAATGTATCATATTTCTTCTTTCAGGATGCATTATGCGAGCCTCCAGTGGATTCCGCTTCGTTACCATTAGAACATCGAGCAGGTGGTGGTTATGGACCGCCACTGCCTTCCGGACACACGGACGACCCTTGGCCACTCGCTACACCAGATAGTCCAAAAATTAAACATCTACAAGTGCAATGCGAGAAAACTCATATGCGAGTTAATATAGAATTTGATCGTCCATTCTATGGTATGATATTTTCAAAGGGATTCTACAGTGACCCACATTGCATGCATCTCAAGCCAGGAACGGGACACCTTAGCGCAACATTTGAAATTTTCCTCAACAGTTGTGGAATGTCTAGCTCAGCAAACCATAACGTTGCCACTTACGGAAGCCCAACTCCAAGTGGATCTTATGTTGAGAACACAATTATTGTTCAATACGACCCATACGTACAAGAAGTATGGGATCAAGCACGAAAATTACGATGCACGTGGTACGATTTCTATGAAAAAGCAGTAACTTTCAGACCTTTTCAAGTGGACATGCTCCATGCAGTTACAGCAAACTTTCTCGGCGACAACTTGCAATGCTGGATGCAAATTCAAGTGGGCAAAGGACCATGGGCTTCAGAAGTATCAGGCATTGTGAAAATAGGTCAAACTATGACAATGGTACTTGCTATAAAAGACGATGAAAATAAATTCGACATGCTCGTCAGAAACTGTGTAGCTCATGATGGTAAACGAGCGCCTATTCAACTTGTCGATCAGTATGGATGTGTTGTGCGACCGAAAATAATGAGCAAATTCCAAAAGATAAAGAATTTCGGTCCATCGGCTTCAGTGGTATCTTTTGCTTATTTCCAAGCATTCAAATTCCCAGATTCGATGAATGTTCATTTCCAGTGCGTAATTCAAGTATGTAGATATAATTGTCCCGAACCGAAATGCGGTCTTGGTAATGAATACGGAGTTCCACTACTAGGTGGCAATACTGTTAGTGCTGGAGTATATGGACCTCCTAATTCTCCGCTTGCTGAGTATGGCCCGCCGCCACAATCACCTCATGCTGAGTACGGCGTACCTCCGGCGTTCCCTGATCCTCGACATCCTGCAGATGCCACAGGCTCATTCTCCGAAAAACGCGATGACGCAGTACCACCCCCACAGGCACAAGTATCATCAACACCTAATGCACCGAGTCCGTCATCACCGGCACCAGCACGCGAAGATGATGAGGTTAATTTACCACCCCCACCACCGCCAGGTCGTCGTGGAGTTTACAATACAGTCAAAAGGAAAGATGAAGCTCATGGTAACCTTGCAACATTAGGTGGAAGACCTCGATCCGTAGAAGATTTACCTGAGAGTTTAGTCGGAATTAGACGGCGGAGGGAAACATCTACGCACACACGAATTTATAAGCGCGATGCTCAAGAGATGACAGATGTGAATACTAGTCGCACTATTCAAGTTGTAGCACCGGGTGACGTTAACTTTGCACTAAATAATGCTGCAGCAAACGAGACCGTGGTCATCCAGTCTCCAGCAAGTGATCCGGAGACAATATGCATGTCAGTGCCGTCGTTTGTGGCGGGGTTGGTCATGTTATTATTAGTGCTAGTGGTGGCATCCCTGGTTGCCGCGTTTCTTTTCGTGCGCGTACGAGCGCTCGACAGGAAGGGCACCCACGGGACTACCGCCTACTACGAAACGGATTACGTGAAGCACACGAATTAATAGCGTGGAGTTCTGCGAGTGCGAGTGTGACGCGAGGACGTTCCATAAACTCTTCTTGGATCCAAAGAGCGTGCGCGCTTCGGCCCCGGCCGGACGGCCCGACGGCTCGACGCTGTCGCGGTTGCGATCGAAGCTCGGTGACGTGTGACTTATTTATTTAGTAATATAGTGAGCGTGATGTATATGTTCGACTGTTTTTGTAAATTATTTTATTCGTGTGAAGAGCACTCTGTACTTATTTAGTCTGTTGTAATTTTGTAAAGAGTCGTAAGTAAGGATGTAATTATAAGAAAGTTATACTTATACCAATTAAAAAGTGTCGCGTGTGAAAAAAACTGTTTATTATTAACCTATGAATACATGGAGCTTCATTCAAAATTCTCGTTTGCATGCATATTTTTTGTTAACATGCAATTAGAATTGCATTAAATTAATTATATTTATAATTGTAAAAAAAGGATTTTTTTATATTCCTATATATAATGTCCGGCTAAACTTAAAATGATGACTGTAAACATTATTGTCATAACTCTACTGGTCCAATACAACCTTCCTATTATGCAGATTTTATACCACACAACACAAGATTCCAAATCGAAATAAAAACGGAACATTGCAAGAATAGTCCATACAGCATAAATCAGTCTATAATAGACTACATCTTTTAGTAATCGTCTAAATATCTGAGCGCACAGTCCTGATATGCAACTTTACTCGTTTAGTGTTTCAATAGACTCTCTTTAGTCTATACAAGGTATTCATTCAAATACCGTATCAAGAGAGAGTGGGAGTTTTTAATTATTATATGACTGAAATTATTTCACGTATTTTAGTAATTATATAAAATTTTAATATGATGGTAGCAAACCTAATACAACCCGATCTGATGGTAACCGGTAAAACAATTACGTAAGTAAAATAATGTTAAAATACTTAAAGTAATATATATCTCTCGTTTCTTTTCATTATCAAAGTAAAACGACTATTTAGATAATGCATGATATTTAATAGCATTATAAATATATCTTATCTGGACATAAAAATAATAATAATATATTTCAATTTAAAAAATACCTACAATAAATTATTTAAATCCATATTCGTCACCACAAGAGTACAAAACAAAATTAATCGTAGGTAGGTAGAAAAATATTTTTATTAGTTCATTATTTGGTAGGTACTATTTTTTACCCGCGTCATAATCCATGCGACCGAATCATAGATTAAGCACGATAGAATTCTTGTACCTACATAAATTAATACGCCAAGAAGCAATTCTCTATCATATTTATAATATTAGTAAGGATTTATCAACAAGATAATTACATATTCGTCTTTTCCTTCATTAATAATCAAGCAAACAACAAGCCGAGATTATGTCTAGTAGTCGCTATAATTCAAGTCTTTTCTTGCGATTTTAGGATTAACATAATAATAGACAATGCAATATCGTAGTTTCTAATCGTTCTGGAAAGTAATGTTTTTTTTAGTATTTGTAGGTACCTTCCATAAAGACGAATACAGATATAAATATAATAATGCTATAATAAGTAGATAATATCATTATTATAAAATTCGACGTAAGGTACTCTATTCCAATCGCAATAGTAAGAGCGAAATAAGGTAAATAATCTTATTGGTCCAAGAATTTTTATAAATCTTGACAAGTAAAAAGGGAAGAAGACTAAACTTTGTATTAAAATATTACCAAAGCGATCGAAACATGAATAAGTCTATTTAATTGTAACTAGCACTAAAAGTATTTACGTAATGTTAGTAAGTAGTTACATTATGACGAATGTTAGATATGACTGCTGTACATAGATAATTTGATGTAGTGAAAGTAAAAAATTAACCGCTATTTTTATAGTGACAATCGTAATCTTTCTTGTATATACAAGATTCCGGTTGTCACTTTCAAGTGGGCAAAGGACCATCAGGCATTGTGAAAATAGGTCAAACTATGACAATGGTACTTGCTATTTCAACCGTAATCTTGTATATACAAGATTCCGGTTTTTCAGAATTCCCGACCTTGTCATACATAAGTGTAGAAAATGAACATCAAAAGAAATCAGTGCGCTACGCTTGCAATAATATTATTAGATAAGGTATTTCGTTTACTGACTAAAATATACACTTTTTATTAAAAACAACTGTATGTACCTATCATATCAAAGAAACACATCTAAAGAATGTAAAACAAATAAACAAAAAAGTTATTATAGCAATCAATTCTCTAAAGGTAACCCGTATAATATCTAGACATACATACCCAGCCAACAATTTGAGATTCATGAATTGATACATTGAGCTCTATAGCGTATGTTTGGCTAACATAGTGAGATTTCATAGAAATAAAGTACATTTCATACTAAAAAAATGAAAGCGCCCCTTATTGACCAACGCTTAAATTAATTCTACATGCAACATGTCATAATGCACGAAGTATATTGGGCGCTACTTGAGTGTCTTATAGCCTCTTAATTATAACAATGTTTATTGTTCACGACATAAATGAAGAAAAAATGGCATCTAAATGACACGTTAGCAGGCATTGTAACATATAACGAGAACAATCATCAAGTCAAGTTCACACGAGTTTCACCTCCAAGCTGGATTTTTCTTACAACCTCTCGCATCTCGGTGCAAATTCTCCGGTGTTAGTATAAGATTAATAGTGGAAGATATCCTCATGGAACTTAATCGCTTGTCAAACTTTTCACCAATTATATTAATAACGTCCTGCAAATAACATTTTCACTAATAGGTATTACAGGTAGGTAAAATATTACAGGGTGCCGATGCTACTAGTGCTCGAGCTGGTGGCTTTAACGTCTTACTTTCATCATTCCTTTGACTCCATCCCATTATTTGGGGTCGCCGCAGTATGTTATCTTTATCTGATCTCTATATATATCTGACTCCTAGACGTTACGATACTGTATGCACGACAAAGACGGGGCACTCGACAGTTGTGTTGAAGTAACTGTTTCTCCTCTTGTTACGAATGTCGTTTTCGGTGCTTCCAAAGTAGTTTGGCGTTTTTAGTTTCAGAATTATGACATTGATTCTAAAAAGTAAAATTTATTATACTTTAATAAAAAAAATTGATATTTGAATAAAACGATGATTTCCAAATAAGTATCTACTTGAAAATTGTCAATTATATACAAAGAAATGCAAATTTATAATGCTAATGGCCTATGGACCTTTGGGTGACCGTAGTGCGTGAGTTTCTACTCGTAGCGATTTATCGTAGCATGCGTAGCAGTCGATTCGAGCTTAATACAAATATATGTGCGTAGGTTTCAAATTGATGAACAGACGCTGTTATGACAACTATATATATATCTGTCTGTCTGTGTATGAATAATAATATAGATATGATAAATATTAAAGTAACCCAAAACATTTAGTAGCAAAATATATGTAGATTATACATATACTTACTCATTGCTACGAGTAGAGTATACACAGAAACTATTTTAAATATTTTATTAATGCATTTCATATCAGCTTCATTGATTCATTTCAGTTTTGTGTTCTCTACGTTGTTATCTATATCAAATTAGAGCTAGCATAGTTGTATACATACCGATGCTTCGTTCATATCCACCAGCGCATCCATTCGCTGAGGGAAGCGCGTTGGCAGCCTGCGACACTGCACTCTCGATGCTGCGCGATGCGTTGGACAACAGCCGGCACAGTTCGCAGACAGGCGACGTGGATGCTAAAAAATGTACCCATAACCTAATTCATGAATCTTATTTTTATGTTAACACATTCAAGGCAGATGCTGTAATATAAACAAAACTCTCATCAAAATCTATTCCATGTCATTCCTATCAAACTACGATATGTTAAAGAATATATGATCACTGAGAAATTAAAATAAATAATTGTAATATCTAGGTATGGGATAAATAATGTCAATGAAACAGATGTTGAAACTAGAGACAGGCCCCTACATCGGAGGCAGCACCTGGGTCGAGGTGTGAGCAGTCCGGCGCTCCGGGCGGCAGGCGTTGGTGGTCGACGCTCACCTCGCCTCCATCGCTGCCGTCGCCGGAGCTCTCATGGACGTGCACCTTTATATTATTCCTCACTAGGTGTGGTTTGATCTCTTCAAACCAAACATCGCATAACTGCAACATTTTCAAAAATAGTATAATATGTAGTATAGTATGTACATTATCAATATTTAATTTCTGATTATTCTATCCCAAATCCATTCCGAACTAGTAATTACCTGTGCCGTAACTGATAAAATACATAATAGTGAAGAACATCTTTTTAACTTTGATTGAATAAAATGGTAAATATTCACAACAAATTAATATTGATCGGATTATGTGCATCGTATATATGAAGTATATCATTACAAAAACAACCCACAGACCAAATAACCACTAAGCTAGAGATTCGTTGAAGCCTGCTTTGCAATCGACGACCTCTGATTTCTCTGTACATATTTGCTTATAAAATTTATTTAGGCGCTTACTCCAACTAGGGCATTTTCTAGTTCGTATCGGATGCTCTTCGGTATTTTGTTACTGCTTCTACTGCGTTGCTTACAGTGCTTTGGGATTACATTAGATATAGTGCCATCGCCTGAGGCTTTGTTGATAGAGTGACGTCCCCCCGAAGCAGCATCATTAGCAATTACTGCCTTCCTAGCTCTAGAATGAGACATCATTTTGTTCATAATTAAGCTACACAAAAAATAATTCTCGGTATATATTATTTTAAAGAAATTATTGTAATTTGCATTAAAAAACATTAAAAATATGAGTGTATAAAATTGAAACGTCAAAAGTGGCATTTTCAATTGTTAAATTCTTGAAACGCTATTTGTTAAAATACAGGTTATATCAAAAAAGATATATATGTCTACATAAACAAATAGAAATGTTGAGTGGTAAATTAATTAAATTGTTACCCCCAATAAAATTGCAAAAACTAAATAACACAAAGAACATAATATTATCGTAGCCCTATTATTCAATCAAAGAAGAGGGTAGTTGAATAAAATTATAGAGAACATTAGACAACAGTTTTGCCGTAGCGAAGTTAATATTGTTAAATTAAAATATGAATTGGAAGACAACATTATACGCGAGTGGGTCAATATTATGCGGTATTGCATTAAAAGTATTAAAGGATAATGTGTTTAAAAATGTTCCAAATAAAAGCGATATCAACGAAGTGTTACTTTACGGCGATGGTGATGACGTACGAGTAAAAGAAATAGGTTTAGATAATCTCTACTGCATTTATTACATGATAGCTCACGCCAGCAATACAGTTGACGTGTGTGTGCCAAGCCTCGAAAGCGAAATTATTACTAAGTGTCTCATCGCTGTGCAGCAAAAGAACAAGCCCAAAATTAGAATCGCAATACACAATAGTAATACTTGGGATAATCTCAAATCTATTGCCGAGAGCGGAATCGAGGTGAAGGTCATAAAATCGACAGAACGTCTGGAACACGAATTCCTATTAATAGATGCTACGGGAACGTTTGACGATGCTGTGGCAATAATAGGATCCCTAGACTACGACACATCTAGAGTCAACTGCAACAATGACACGACCATGATCACATCTGAACTTGCTGTAGTGAAAACTTTAAAAAGAGAATTCGATAGGGTGTGGAACAATCACGTATCTGATATTTCAGAGATTATGTTGACCAAAAATTAGATCAATAACTATAGATATATGTTTAGTTGCCATTAATGAGTAATAAATAATTAATTATAACTGTGTATTTAGAGAAATAAAAGTGAGTAATTAACAAAAATAATAAAATTTTATTTCATTTACCTAGGTAGTTACAATAATCATTTTAAAAGCAATATATACATAATTTATACGTGAAAATTTATTTGTACCGGAGTGTTTCTTCATCATATTGTACACTTATCAGTAACATACAATATAAAAAATCCATTTGGTATTTATGATAATCGATTTATTCGATTTTACACTTTACATCATTGTATGTATGTTACAATTATTATTAAGATACTTGTTACGTATATGTAAAAATACACCTCAGGAAAATAATACTAACCACTGTAGTCCTATATTTTAATATAAACTTTTAATTTAATACGAAAGAAAAAACAATACCGAAACAAAAATATTGAAACATCTTTCATTTTTTTCTTAATTGTAAGATTAAATGAACAACATTTTAATCATTGTTAAGTATGCTGTGTTTGTAATTCACTATTCGTTTTTTTTTTAATTATAATTTTATTTAATTAAAAAGAAACATTCGACTGACTTTGAACTTCCATACCTAAATAAATCTAAACTAATGTACATATTATCTGGGTCACAGAAGGAATACTCTTTCTCTTTAGTGCCCGCTGTGTCAAAAATATAAAATTAAAATACATTCTAGGATCCCAAATAATTCGTAATGACGTAGAATAACTATTATAGTTATTTTTTGGTATAGATAAATATAGCATATCAAAAACATATACGCGATATATATACATTAGTACAAGTAAACATAAGAATGCTTAATATTCTTCTGATTAATTGTTCTTATACACATATAGACAAAATCGTTATAAATATATAAATATTCTGATCGCCTGTGGTACGAATTACTACTCATATGTTCCCATACCAAAATAATATGGCATTTACTTCTTACATCAAGGATTGCACTAATTGTCCCTTTGAACAAAACAAAATGCACCTAGCTCGCAGTTTAAATGGTTTTGCGACTTATTCGAAGAACTTAAGTAGTGTTGGCAATTCTACTGTTTAATATATTATAAATATTATGTATATGCAACAATAAAATATAACGATCAGCAGACTACTAAAATAAATATTAAATTATTTAGAGTTGTTATAGTATGAAATTTCAAGTTTCAGGGCATTGAAATAAAAAGTATATTTTAGGAAGAAAAAGAATAATCGAATAACACTGATGCCCCCACTACTGTCATACTACAATGAAAACAAGAATTTATTCATCTGTAGATTACAGCCGTCGTTGTAATAATAAGTTCTAAATTATTTAAATATCAAACAATGATTGTATATTATAAATATAACTTAATATATTCCTATTTGTACAAGTCGTAACATATAAGAATATCTTGATAGTTCAAATAATCATCACGACCCAGACCTAAATGGACACGCGAATCTGGTTAATCTAAAACTGTGACGATTTCCATACGATAGTAAAAAAATAATACTTATTTAATTACGTGAATAATATTGTTGGCCTCTATTGCATCCCGTCGCATTGGCCGGTAGATGATCATGTTGAGATGTTCAAGGGTTTATATATATTTAATGTAATTAGAATGTTAAAGAGGTAGATGTGGCCCACCTTATCGTAAAAGGCAATAGTTGGTTTTATACATAAACAGCACTATGAACATCAAGTTCTCAAATACAGGTGACAATGACGATGCGTTCTTGCTGCGATTGCGAAATCCATAGGACTAAGATGACCTATTTTCCTATAATTTCACTGTTTAATCTGAGCCTCCAACCGAAACAGTGCACAAAGCAAACTGCTTAGCAGCTGATATAGGTGAGATTAAGGTAATCACGCAGTCGATATTTTCTATGTACCTCTGCTAAATTAACTTGAAACTATAGAATACATATTTGAAGAATATATAAAAAAAAGTAATTAATTTCAATTTATATAATAAGCGGCTCCATATCAGCTATAAGCGTGGATTAGGATCATTTATTGGTAGTTAACAATAGAAAACAATTTAAAAAAGCTACATCTATGTTAATATAAGATATATTCCCGTTTTGTACTAAAGATGTACAAATCCCTTGTGGTAGGGTTTAACTGTATATCACAGCTATTTATCTCAGAACTGTAAGAAGCACAAGCTTATCTAGTGTTTCTTGTATATTAAATAGTTTATTGTGATATAGAAATATAAAATTAAAGAATGTATATAATATAATATATGGTACAAGTATTAATACTACAATAGATCAAAATGGAAAAATTATCATTAAAATATGTTTGTGACTATTGAGGATTAGTTAAACATAAATTTATATGAATAAAATAATTATTAGGCAAATAGGTAATATCATAATTAAAATTCCATTTCTAAGAATACATATACACCAATTCATTAAGTACATAAAATATTTTGTCTTATCAATTGACAATATACGAAAATTCACACAATACTCGAAGCAATTATTTACAAAATAATAACAAAGGTTCGTCTCAAATATTAGTATTTATGAAATAGTTTATATAGTTCTTCACACAACTGACTAGCAAGATAATTACAAATAGTGATTATCTCATGTAACTAAATATTCCAGAATATTCCCCAGAATGCATGTCAGCAGAATGATAACAAGGAGACCCTAGTCACACGACAGACATAATGGATATCATACGTCAATCTCAATATCACTGCCGATGTCATGAGTACCACCAGACGTCGGCGACGCTGTGTCAGGGTCCGCATAGTCCCTTGGAGACCCCATATTATATTCTTGAGGAGAACTCATATCGTCTTCTGGGGAGCCCGGTAGGTCCTCATCCATCATTATTGTCGCTGGCAGGGATGCGGATATTTCTTGTAATTGACTTGTGTACACTGAAATTTAAACAATTTCAAGTAAAATAATTATTTTGAATTATTGAATGATGAAGTCATTCTAGTTAATACTATTTTTTATATGCTCAAATATTACTTTCTTATCCTTAGAAATATCTGCAAAGCTCAAGTTTGATTACACTGAATCAAAATAATGTTTGGTTTAATGTCATTATTATTTATATTTGTATACACTATAATTAGAAAGTAACATAGTCAATGAAATATTTATCATAGCACTTTAATCTTCAGGTGCAGTAAAGCAAGTAGTGTAGTGTTGGTTGATATCTATTTGTGATATATATGAAATTCATATTTATATTTACTTCTTTTTTCAAGCTTTGTTATGAAGTAATAATATTTCAAATTAATAATAGGAATATATCAGATTTTCACCATTTTTTTATGTAATTGGAATAGCAAATAACTAGATGGTCCACCTTACAGTATAGTAAATGGCAAAGATGAAAAGGGACAGACAGTGACAGCGACTTTATTTTATACTATGTAAAAATAAATGAGTTCCTAAAAAATTTATAGTTGAACAGCAATATTTATTTTTCTAATAAGTTTGTTGAAAGAATAAATAAAAGAGACTATTTAACAAGAATTTAAGGAATACATGATACAACATACCCTTAATATTAGATGATTTTAGATCTGCACTAAAGTTGAGAGATTCTTCCATAGCCTCCATGGTTAATGTGTCTGTGTCGAGACTGTCCATAGAGCCAGAACAAGACGGAGAACTGTCGGGATTTGTGTTTATTGTAAAATGTATATTGTCTAGTTGAGGTATATGCGGCCGAACCTGAAATAACAAAATAAATTTTATTTAATTACTTATTATGGCATAAATCAAATGTAACAGTCCTGTTTTAACTTGTGTGTATAACTATTGTGAACTGATAAATTTTGTATCTATGAAAGTATTTATTTTACTAGTATTATACTATGGGTGTAATTAGGTTTGTTTATATTTTTCATTGACTATTTAAATGTGTAACTCAGAAAATTTATACTGTGTAAATCAATTCATCATATTAGTTGGATATTTTAGGACTGATCAAGACCTTTTGTATAAATATTTTAAATAAATTAATAATATTTGTATAGGAGTAGTAATGGTATAATTATACCAATATTGTTTATAATAAACATGATACATATTGATTTATTGCAAATTTATAGCACATGAAAATAATTTTGCATAAAATATATTTAATATACCTATTTATATAATCAAATACACACCTTCATTCCATCAGCTCTGTGAGGATTCCTGCATCCTTTACATTTGCACTCAGTGCATGGCTTACTTTCTACATAACATGGACAGCGCTGACCACAGCAAGTCAGCTTCCCCGGGGTCGCTGTAGCATTACCACAACGACAACCTTTTCTCTTGCTACTAGCAGAACTACGAGATCTATTTGATGGTTTTTTAAATCCTAATTGATTAGACTGAAAGTAAACAAAATTATTACAGATAATTTACAATAAAAAAAGTACTGTGTCATTAAAGGCTTATATTATTAGCCTTTAATGACACAGAACTTTTTTTTATATTATCAAATAATTATGTACATACATGTATATATAACCTATAAACTAGTACTTTTAAAATTTTAATGTTTTTTAAATAATATAATACATTATTATAATATATTGTATTAAAGTAATATTTAAATAAAACAACATTTATTACCTTACTTTCCCTTTGCGAAGACTCACTTTGAGTTAGAAGCTCTGCATCATCTATAGCCTTTCTTTTAATTGTAATTTTATTTCCAGAACCTGCATACAGTACAGAATAAAGGGAAGCACCATTGGACATGGCTCTAGAATTTGGTGAACCTTTATTTGAAGACCGGGTATCTGAAGAACTGGACGATGCTGCGGCTTGTGTTTGCGTAGATGTAGAATTGGTGTAAACACATGGCAGTATACTATATGCAGACTTTGACAGGCCCCCTGTACTCTTATAATCGTCGTTAAATCCAGCACCCTCCTGTATCAGATCTATAAGACCAGCGCTGGCAACTGTCCCTCCATTGATGCCCTCAGACATTTCATCTTCGTCCAGTAATATTTTGTACACATCAGTGCCCATAAAATATTCGCACAATTTTTTATAACATTGCAATAATATTCGTAATTGTAAATTCTCAGAATACTGGTCATAGTCTTTGCACCAGCTACATGAAGGTTTAAGTTTCTTTCTCCCCCCTTTGCACTTTTTACAAACATGATGCTGGCATCCAGCAGTAGTTGGTGTATATGGTTCTTTAAGAAGATTACCACAAACTGTACAAGATAAAGATTGACGTAAATATGGTACCAAACGAAATAAATCTATCCATGAAGACTTATCAGCGGCATCAGCTAGCACAACAAGCCGACATGTGGATACATATAAACTTGTAGCATTCATCTTCATTGAAAAAATATGTATTTACTAAAATTTTGTTACAAAAAATAATTGTTTACACCAAATTACTACAAAGCCGAAAAGCCAGCTTTGGCAGAAATATTTAGATTCCGTCAAAACTGTCAAACCATAAAAAATAAAATAAAATGTCAAACGAGCAAAGCAAATCATCCGCGGCTGTCATTGTCATTTTAATGTTGTCAATCCACATTACTACGTTCAGAAATACATAATAAGAAACACTTAACTAAGAAGAATTAGTTTTATATTGTATTTCTGAACTTATTTAATGTATCCCACGAGACGTTCGTAGCTTGAAGCCTAGAAAAATATTGTGACGATAAACATTTTAAAGTTAAAGACTTGTGTGAAAGATACGAACGACTTGAATAGAAAGATGAATACTACGTCAAGAAAGAGAATTACGAGATAAAAAATATTACTTAAAAGGTGGTTGGTCATAGATAGAATAAAAAGAAGCTCAAACACGAATTTACTCTCGTCTGATCTCGTTCTTTAATTATATCTTAACAATTATTTTATTATTATTTCTAAATCACGTAACTATAGTTCATTTAGGCATTGCATAAGCGACTACCCCAAAACACACTTGTCTTGCAGACACCAAAACAGTAATTTTGTACCTACTTATACTTATATTTCTGACTGATTTTGAAGAAAACACTGATAACAAGCCAAAAAATAATGCCCGAGACAGTGGTTTGTTAAGTAAAGGTAGGTTGTGACGTTGCCACGTAGTATTTAAATATACACAGTAAAATGTGGACATGTCAAGCATTGCGTTTACCATGACGTTAAGAAACACTGATTCTTTTGACGACCTCATCTGGGATAAAACTCGACACACAATATTAGTATTAGTATTTATTAAGTAACTAACATGGCATACACTTAATTAATTGGCTCAGCTGGTGCCAACTGTCACCTAATTTTTTTAAGTTATAGTTTACAGTCATTTAGGCGTCTTGTCATCGCTATTTCATACGAATGAGGAAACATGTATATTTGTGCAAGAATTTATTAATATTCTCACTCAATATCAATTACTGGGAAGAACTACAGGAGAAAAAAGAAGTCGCGGCCGGATAAAAATTGGGTGTAGGTAAGCCCTATTCTCCTTACGGCTCCACATACGAGACCACCGGACCTCGATCGCGTTACATTGATTAATTATTGATTGCAAGAGTGTTCAGAATTACGGCAAACTTGGAAATACAACAATGAAGAATGGCCACGTACAATTTCTACTAAACGCATATTGCTTATTAATTTATTAATATATTAGCTACTAACTTAGAAAACGCTAATTTATAATATGAGGAAAACAAACTATATACCATCTACATGAACAACACCCCATGATTTAATGTGATGTAAGATGTTTTCTTTTTGATGATAATGGAAGGATGCACGACGTGTGCCTCATACCATTATCATCAAAAAGAAAAGTCTCGGTTTACGCTGACGGAGCACCAGTAGAGGATGATAAGATGAGCATGAAGTCAAGTCAGTTAACACATCTTGGCAAATGACAATTACGACAATGGATTCCAGAGGGAATTGCGAAGAGATAAACCTGACAATATATTGGTAGCAATGAGGTTGCTAGTCCACATTAATAACAATCCCCTTCCCCCCTGACGCCATCGGTTACCTTTGTAATCTGTTACATGAGGATTAAGATTTCAGACATCCATATCAAACCATACCTTTGACGGCTTTGGTAATTTCGAGTTTAGTACATCGCCTTACCTTTGTGCGAAAAACCGAACCCGCGACTGTCGAATTTTTCGCACGGTGCAAGCATTTGTATTCATAGGTACGATTGTTTGTATCGATTTGTATGTTCCTATATATAATATGTAAACATTTACAAAAATATGATGTATTTAAGTATATTTATCGGGTCTATTAACAATAATATAAGCACTGCTTAGTTTGGATCTAGACAGCGCTGTGTGAATTGTCCTGGTTTGTTTTTATTATTCTACCCTATGATTTCAGTTTAATAATCACTCACCGCTCAAAACAAATACAATTTACAAAGCAAGCTTAGCAACTGGTAGGTGAGACATTGTACTAACTCCAGTTCATTAAAATATACCTAATTTTGTTATGTAGCCAGCTCAAACTTAATCAGCTTTTATGTAGTACACCCAGGTAGACAAAGCGTTTTTTGTACATAAAGCATATAGGTCCAAACTGGACAACACAATTGTGTCTAAAATTAGACAAATATCCTTTCAGCAATTTTGTCGTCAAAAGCTAACCAATATACAAACAGATTCATTTTCTTATTTTGGTTATCTACAAAATTTAATTAAAAAACAAATAGATAAAGATAGTGGTTTACGTAGATAACTATTGTTAATATATAAAATAATACAGATAGTATTATTTCATATACTTATAAATAGTTTCCGAGGCCAATAACCATCAATTCTCCGCTATTATCCAATTGCAAACACTTACCAGAGGACAAAATTCACATCTTACAGTAGACGGATTGTGTTCTTTACGAGCACGTACGATACTCATGCCACCTCATTTTCATGCAAACTTAACAAACCTTTTATTGAAGTGGAAGCATAACAAAGACAATCATTGACTGAACAAATACACGAACAATAAACATAATCGAATAATCAATCGGGGCATTTAGATACGAGTATCTAATGTAATGATATCTTGTCCAAATGAATGTTACGTGTCGTTATTGTCTTGAGCGATTCGTCTGAGTATGTAGATACGGAGCGTGGTTCAGGACAAGCGCTGATAAAAGATTGTTACGACAACAGTATCCGTTGATCCTCCGCCGAGGAAAGAACTATTCCTGACCCACGTAGAGGAATCTGTAGTGGCGAGTGCATTAATTGAATTGACTCAACGAACGCTTCCCGTCGTTGTTTCGCACTCCCTAGTGAATCTCTTGACGTCCAACCGAGCCAGTTGGGAAGCAACGAAGTTATTGGTTTGTAAAACGACAAGTGGTTTGTGATAGTGATGTGGACCCTGAGTTGATCGTATACCTAATATCAGTTATATTAGTGAATGGATATTCTCACAATGAATAGGTATGTGTATATTGAACCACCTAGCTGTATTATTCTTAGAAATTTATTATTGTAATTAATACCTACATTCATACTTCTACATACATCATCATAATTCGGAAACAGCAGAAATACATACACATATACAAATATGTCTATACAATTAAAACTGACTAATATACAACATCTTAGTGTCTACAATGTATCAAATTTATTTCGAAAATGTCGTTAACAAATGTACAATGAATGTTAGGAATTTATATAAAATATTATAATAATTAAGTATCTAATTAGTGATTAATTATATTAACAATTTTTCTAAAGCGCTTAGAATGACACACAAGCTGATGATCTACCTGATGGAAAATAATATCATTCGTCTATGTGCCTACATGTTACCATAAATATTAGCTATAATGCACTCACATGATACTTTTCAAGCCTGTGTAGACATTTGTAAATACAACATTTACAAATGTTGTTTTGCCATCATACCCTCATAGGCTGTCTCTACCTTTGCACACTTAAAAAAAATTGATATGGATATAGTCTGGCTACCTTTTATCCTGATCGTAACGTTTTCCAGACACGCGAAATCGCACGTTAAAACTACCCAGTATACTGTTAAAGATAAGGTAAAAATTAAAAATTAATTTCTATCAATATTTGTTCCAATAAGTTGATACTTATATGAGTTGTTTTCAAATTGTCAATATTACAAGATTACATAGAATTAATAGCTTGTTAATTATCAACACAATTCTGTAATGAGAATATAATTATATAAACCCAACTATCTCCATAATTAATGTCACAAAAGGTTATATTCCAATACCTAATTACGCATATTGCATGTACTAATTGCATCAATACTCTTAGTAGTTATTACACTATATCATTACGATATATCTATAATAAACAATATCTCTCTAGATACTGACAAAGTAATAATCTCACCACTAATTTTATTCCGTGTTAAATGTCGTTGCTATAGAAAAGAAATCCATGTAAAAACCTATACCGAGTCGCATTACGTCCTTTTCGACTACTTCGGCATCAGTAGGTTCTTAAGAACCCGTACCAAATAGTGGAACAGTAATGGGTTGTTATGAAGATGATTGATTTATAAAATAAATGTAACTTTATAATTTTCTCTAATACCTAATTTACTCGTAAATAAATATTAATTAGAAATAGTTGATAAACTAATGTTCTGATGTAATGACTATTAATTTTCTTTAAACCTTTGATCATTCATTCTAGCCACAGATTTTTTGGACCTCGTATTATAAGCTTGAATAGAGTCCACATTATCTTTCGGGGCATTTACCTATACAAAGAGAAAAATTGGTGAGACTATTGAGACAAGGTTTCTAGATCATACAGAAGAATCCCGAGTAATAGTTTTCTCCCGACGTTACTAACTATTCAAAACATAAGCTTTAATTAGAGTACATGTATATTGCATATTACAGAAGGGTTGTGATATCCTATCTTCTTAATGAGCGTTTAAAATGATTTGTTTGAACGCTGGTGTTATCAACAATGATTTATATGTTTTCTAGACGACAATGTAACCACTTCGAAATTATCTTACGTTAGTATTTCAAACTCCACTCTTTTATATTTCTGCCTATCAGCAATAGTTTTAAAGTAAAAGTCAAATTCATTTATAATATATTTCTTGTTACATATCTATGTTAAAATTGAAAAAGACTGTATCACAGTCTCTCTCTCTCTCACATCATCTCTAACAATCCATTCGGCCATCTTTATATCCACCTTTGAAATGGTCCAATGTTTAACTCTACTCGTAATTTGATATCTCTATCCTTACATCTAGAGTCATATGAATTTGTTACTATATGTACAGTCATTGTCATTATAATTACACATAAAAGAAAAGTTCCGGTTGAATCATGGAAATAAAAATATAATCACTCATATCATATTAATCTGATATTTATCACTGTTAACCAACTGTGTTTCGAATACACATGATTAAATTCATTATTGATTATTTTTCCGTTTTATTAAACCTTTTTTAATGTAACTGTGACAGCAGTTATGTGTATTATTATCGTACCTACTGTTATAAGAGAGCTATATACTTCTTACACCTAGCAGCTTATGTGTAGTTATGCAAATCCTTAAATAGCTTTATGGAAACGATTGGTTAGGTTTTAATAAGGTCACTAAAAATGATTAGGTCATCTCGTGTTATTGTTATGTGACTATTAAGGGATGATTCAGATGAGCTCTATACAGAAATTTACAGGTACATGTTAATTTTCCGTATAAGGGCTGAAATAATACCTATGAAACAAGTACTGGAAGACCAGCAGTAATCTTGTGGCCTTCATTTTCAAGTATGTTATGATTAGTGTATCTGTTTATAAGTATATACTCTAACAAGAAGTGTAATAATGTTGATGTTGTAAATGGTAATATTGTCTCATTTTATTATGTTTTCACAACCTTACTTAATTGCCAGACCTTCGTTATCATATACATAAAACTAGCATAGTATGCTTTTTGAGACGAAAGATAGCCTATGTCCACCCTCCTGGACAATGTGTCTTCATGTTAATTGTCAGCCGTTTAGTCGTTAAAGGTAACACAAACAGACAGACACATTTTCATCTTTTTATTATTAGTATATGGATAAAATTTCTCTACTCACTTTCCCATCCAAATGTAAAAAACGATGGGCACTTTAGTTAGTTTGTTACATAATATTTATAGCGAGCGGGGCAATACCGAGTTTTTTATTCATTCATTAATCGAACGTAATTTTCGTATATTTATGTTATAGATATCATACATATCTTGCCATTCCAGCGGACAAAGACGTTGTCTCTAATGCTGCAATATCGCTGCCTTATCACTCTTCAACCAAAAATACAGGTATGCTGAGGGCTGAGGGCCTGAGGCACCCATGCACGCAGACATTTTAGAAACTCTACCTCGATAAAAATATGTCTATCTCTTGTTCACTGTAATATAACTACAATCTAGATAGAATACTTGCACACCTTACTGTTTTTATGTAAAACTTATATTTTTACGATAAACACAATAATTAAAGCTTGTTTATTATATTTTAGTAATCGATTTATTGTTATCTTCTATCTATATATCATATGATTGATTTTTCTAATGTTATTAGTTTTATTGTTTTTAACCCGCAATTTATAATAGAAATCGGCGATAACTAAAGTCTATCTACTGATTGCGTTATCTAGGACTACCTATTTTTCAATTAAAAATAAGTCGTCCTTATTATTCTGTGAAGCTCTATTTTACAAATTACAGGATCACTACATTATTACTGTATTGGATAAGGTTTGGTGTACATTAATAATGTACGTAATAAACATAAATGTTATATGAACTAAGTAGGTATTGTTAGAACAACTGTCCATAGATCACATTTTACGTAACTAAAGTCTGGCTTTTTATCTCTGAGACAAAATGACATTACCTATGTCCCTTGTACCATCTTTTTGCGATTCTTAGATAGTGTTATGTCACAATCGGTAATTAATATTAATTACCGATTTTTATCGATTACCTACTTTAAAATTATTTCTGAGTATTTATTTAAAACATATTAACACAAAATTAATAAAGTACAGGCAGGCCATAAATATAGGGTTATTGTATCAATATTTGTTTTCCTTAATTGACCTATGTACATATATTTCACTAAAACAAATACTAACTGCCTCTTTAATATAATATCTAAAGGTTTGTAAGTTTTACAGCACGAATAAAATTGCGGTCATATCGCAAAATTTCATATATGTTTCATTACACAATTATTTATTAACATATTAGTTAAGCTACCGTAAATTATGACGTATATATACGTATGTAGTAAAAAACGCGGTTGTTTTTAATCGTGAATAATACAAAGACGGAGAAAGAAAATGAAATAAATATAAACTAAAATGATGAGTTTTAAATCTTTTAGTTAGGATCTACTAGTATCGGTTTTTACAATATAATAATGATATAAAAATAACCTTTATAATATATGATATATATATAATAATTGCCTATAACATACAATACCATATTACAAAATAGTCTATTACATGTTACATTATGATAAATTCTACGATTGACCACGACTAAATTAAATAAAATTCATAAATGTTATCTACATTTATTGATAGAGAGCCGATCTACAATATTGTCAGGGGCGTGGACGCATCATAAAGATCAATCAGACAATTGAGGCCGCTACGCATGATGCGCAGGAGTGCCCTCCGCATCGCTTTATATCTACAGCTTCCGTTGAATTCCGTTGAACGCTTGATCGGGAACTGAATTCAATATTGTTGCAGTTTTTTTAGACACAATGGGCTCTATAGGACTATTAAAACTATTATTAAAGATGTTAATTGGGTTTTATTAGTTAGAATAACGTAAGAGAGTAAATTCGAAATTTCGTGCAACCAGTTTCAATGATTAAGGAATCATGTTTCTTTCAATATATAGCACGTCTGAATTTTTACCCGATACCTAAACACAGGTGTAAAAACAAGATTGAATATTGAACCAATTTATTTAGTTGTTCGTAATTTAAATTAACTATAGATAACCCTAGACAATGGGTATTAAACAACAGATTAAAATACTTAAATACATTTTTTGTAAATACATACATATTATATTTAGAAAATAGTCAGACCAATAAAAACAATGATACTCATGAATCCAAATATTTGCATCGTGCAAAGAATCAAACCCCCGACCATCGGTAGTAAGGCGGTGTATGTATAACCACCGAGAATGTTATTTAATACACATATGGATATGTGCCGTATCAATGAATGTGATGTTATATCTACATATACCTAAATCATAAATGATAACAGAAGGAAAATATGCTCACAACATAAATGATAATTATTATCATGAATGATTCATTTCATTCCCAGTTTTGTTCTGAGAAGTTTTCTATTAAAGAAGTTAAGTCAACAATTAAGATGAATTAATATGACCTCCTAACA